AATGAGGCGGCGGGCATCGGATCGGCAGAAAAAGTGTGGGGGAAACTAAAAAATGGCGGAAAATGGGAAGCCCTGAACTTTAGATCTATAGAACGAAGACACTTCCTATTTTCCGGACCCGAGTCCGAATAACATTTTTTCATATTCGGACTCCGAATAAGAATTTTTTTTATTCGGACTCGAGTCCGAATATAAAAAAATGTTATTCGGACTCGAGTCCGAATATAAAAAAATGTTATTCGGACTCGAGTCCGAATAGACGACGGCCGATTATAATACTCCAAGAAAAATAGGCCTGCCACTCTAATGTAACTAAAAGTCAGGATCTCAGTGAGGAAAAACATTGGGACTTGGTGAAAAAAATCGGGATCAACGACATGACTTTTAAAAAATTCCAGGGGTGTCCATTATTATCTACGTTCCCTCTGCGCGCATGCGTGTGTGTGGGGTATATATAATATATGTGTGTGTGTGCATGAACTTAAATTGAACCCGTCAACGGACGATCCCCGGCACACGCGGAACTCACACGCTGAAGTCATGTCACGTGATGCGAACGCGCGATTGAAACAGTTTACTGACGGGTCTTGATGACGGGCTCTACTAACCAAAACTCGGACAAAGCATGCTTTGGTGAAAGTAGATCTTGAGAATGTCAAATCAGAATGCCAAATCAATACTACTTCCGTTATAGTTGAAATGACACGTGTGAGCAAAGATCCAAGACTATTTTTGGTGAGTCAACTACTAAATTCGACGCATTTAGGAAAATAGTGCTCTGAATTTCTGCGGACGAAAAGTTTAACGAGTGCTTCCCACGACAGAAAAGAAGGCAAGAGTAAGATTTTAGACAAATCTGGCGCAACAGGCCGAACAAAAAATTAAACAAAAAAATATCAGGGTGCACGCGATCAAAATCTGGAAAGTCGGCATGCTTGAAATTTAGGGCAGGGATGAGTGGCAGGTTTGGAAAATTATACACTAATTCATTATTCTTCAGAGCCATCCCAGGGTTCACGTTCCAATCTTTCCACACTTTCGATGACGAACAATTCATGTTTACTAGTGTGTTAAAGAAGGATGGAGGTAATCTCACGGCAGGGGTAAACTCAAGGCACGACACCAGCAAATGTGAGCGACCAGAATGTGGGCGGAGCTTCTGTGCTGAAGCTAGCCTGTGTTGCCGGGAACGGCGCAGCTGATAAGTAGGTCGACTAGTCGACTTAGAACTTCTGACACAGAAGGTGACTGTCGTGCTTGTGTGTGGATGTGTCGTCAAATCATTGACTCAGCTTTGGGATAGAGAAGTGGGGAAATGATTCTTGCCGGACGCACACCACCAACGTTTTAAAGGGTATGCAAACTCTCCAAATGAAATTTATAAAGCTCACGCACTACCAAAACTTAAAGGGGGTAATCTGCAGGTTTTATGCGTAATATACCTTCATTTTTGCGTATTTGTGCGTAAAGGGGAGCTCTGCTTAGTACTAGAATCTCTATCTATAGGCCTATTTGGTACAAGGAGCGGAAAATTAGAGATCGACAACTAAACACCATTGGCCGCAGTGGCGGTGGGTAGTGAAGGGCTCACGGGCTTGAGCCCCCCTCCCCACCCCCCAAGTCTATCCCAAGGCAAATGAAAATAACGAAATACGCAGTTGAAACTGTTCTGATCGACCGCAATGAACACAGAGTGATCAACTAGGCGGCTTGCTCATTTATCCAATCACTGTTGTCCCCACTTACAACTATAGTAACCTAACAGCCAATCAAATGTCTTTAGGGCTCAGCAATCAACCAGCCCGTTCCCACGGTCTCTCCTTAATGAAACCCCTCTTGTAAAAAGGTAGAAGACTTGAAAAAAATAACACTGCACAGAGGGCTCACGCTCTCCCAGCCCTGACAATGGGGTGAAAGTTTACGACACACTTTCCCCCAGTGACACAGTTACCTATGCGCCCATTGGGCCTTTGTTAGGCGCATTCTATTTTCTGCAACAACACGACCCAATCCACCTCATACACGGTGTGTGATTGGAGTGCTGTGTGTTTGTGCCGCTGAGATGTAACAATAATCAAATAAAAACTAATTAGAGAAATTTGGAGGTGAAACGGCGTCGTCCCCACCATGCAGAAGAATTTAACGTAGAACAAAGAGATGGCAGACAAAGGTGACTCTTCTTGTTTGAATGGTTCTCAAAATGCTGTGGCTTGTCGTGAGTATAGAAAAATCATCACTGTGTTCTTATTGCTTGCTTTTTGGTGGTAAAGAAGTGGAAGAAACCTAAGCCCCACCCAAATCTAGGTTCACTCACCGCCACTGATTGGCCGATATTTATAGTAACAGCCATCTTGTTTGACGTCATTGAGGGATTCCCACTTTTTTTGTCTTTCATGGTGGCAACACGACCGCGCGACGGCAGCCGGCAGCCTGCCGACTTGGATTAGTAGTTATTTTCTTTGCAACTTTTACTTGCAGAGAACTGTTTGGTTCTGTTGTCTGCAGGGTTGGGTTGATTTAAATCAGGTTGATTTTTAAATCAGTTGATTTTTTTGATTTAAATCAACTTGATTTTTTAAATAAAAATCAGTGATTTAAATCACTTTAAAAAAAAAAATTGTTATTCAGTTTTTACACATTTCAACATTCAGAATTACTTTCCTTGGTTTCATAAAACAGATATAAGGTTTAGTAGACTAATATAATCGTGCTTAAAAGTCTGCTTTCCCCCCTTTCACTGTAAAATAATACTGTATTCAATTTACTTTTTTTTTCCATAATTGAAATCAGAGCTGGGTTGATTTAAATCAGTTGATTTTTTAAATATATTTTAATCAACTTGATTTTTAAAATAAAAATCAGGGATTTAAATCACTTTTCAAAAAAATGTATTCAGTTTTTACATATTGGAACATTCAGAATTCCTTTCCTTGGTTTTATTAAACAGATATAAGGTTTAGTAGACTAATATAATCAAGCTTAAAAGTCTGCTTTCCCCCCTGTCACGGTAAAATAATACAGTTCTCAATTTACTTTTTTTTCATAATTGAAAACCAGGGTTGGGTTGATTTAAATCAGGTCGATTTAAATCAGTTGATTTTTTAAAAACTGAAATCATTTTGATTTTAAAAATAAAACTCAGTGATTTAAATCACTTTTAAAAAATGTATTCTGTTTTTACATCTTTAAACTTTCAGATTTCCTTTCCTTGGTTTTATAAAACAGTGTCACTGTAAAATAATACAGTTCTCAATTTCCTTTTTTTTTCATAATTGAAAACCAGGGTTGGGTTGATTTAAATCAGTTGATTAAAAATTTTTTTAATCAACTTGAT